GGACTATCAAAATATTAACATAAGACATTAAAATTGGTTGTTAGAATATCAAAACTTTTTGCAATATTGTTCATCATATTTGAGTTTCTTACATAATTACTTTGTTTGGTCCAACGAAATTATAAACACCTAAGATCTATCTAAATTTTTAGATCACATTTTAGCACAAAATTGTCTTTTTTTCATGTAGAGATGTCTTATTGCAGAATTCGGTTATTCAAAAGAAATTAAATGGAATGAAATACAATATTTTCAGAGGTTTTGTTTCAACAAACAAACTCCGATTTTGGAATTTAAAAAAGAATTTATTGACTATTATATGTATTGAAATGAAAGAAATACAGAAGATATTTTTATATTGTATCACAAAACCAGGTTTAAAAGGGAAAAAGAAAGAAAAACTGTGTCAAATGCATCGTGCACTAATATACGAATGCCTGAATCGCAGCAAACGCAAACAATACTTTTCACTTCGTCTAAGCCGCCCAGCATAGTACGTTTTATTACTTTGAATGAAAGAATAGTCAGCGCTCGGACGCATGATGCGGTTAATACCTTGGTAAGAACCATGTTCTTACACAGTAATAGAATAGAGCGACATGGTGACTCGTGCCTTTAAAGCAAGACTGGATTACAACTAGGGACGCACGTGACAGCATCACGGATCGGATAGATTTAAATTTACAATGGATATATACCGGTGACTTCGGTGATTCCGCGTAATCCCAGGACATAAGACTACGGTCCATCTAGACGGTCGGCTCTTACACACTAGATCGCATGCCATAACCAGATTAATCCCGCGCGCCCTTCGCCTACCAACCGTCCTTTGCATCTGCCACTCTCTACCGCGGACTACGCGATCGCCATGAGCGCCCGTCAGTCCCCCCGGGACCTTGCCTTTGGCCCTTCTCAGTGAACCCCTCTTACGATCGAATCCAGGATGCGATTGAGCGAGAACGACATGGCAGCGTTTTGTAAGGGCTTGTATTATTATCTTCACAGTTAATTCGCAGTTTGCTAGGGTACATGGTACAATTCGACGAATAATTCTAAGAAAATATGGAGGTGATGCAAAAATCTGTAACACAGTTACTGGGGGTTGGGTCTGTAAGATTTAATTAATTTAATTTTGTTTAATTATTCTTATAGAAATTTAATTCTAATAATAGTACAATATTAGCCAATCAATCACTTATTTTGAGTATTAAAAGTACTGTTAATAGTTTCAATACTTAAAATAAATAATTAATTGGCTAGTATAAAATTTCAATGTATGTACAAAATATATTAATTAATTTCAAGGAACCAAAATGACATAAAAAATGAATACTAAATATTTTAATAATTTAATATTTTAATAAAAATAATCTAAATTTGTCAAAGGAAAAAAATTGAATCGTTTGACATTTTTTATTATACTATACAAAGAGATTTATAATAAAGTGAGTCCAATAGACTATCAGTTTTGGAAGGTTAACATGATAATTATAATAATATATGCAATGAAATGTCATAAATAATTAAAAATTGAAATTGCTTAAAATATTTTTCATTATTGACTTCAGATTTTGACGCAGTCAGATAGATAAGTGACGTGACGTATTTTATATAACCGAAGAAGATTCAGCTTTTTGAGATTTTTGCGCACATCGACAATATTCTGCGATGTTTCCCATAGTGCTCATACTTTCCTCGTAATTTTTTTCCTTCGTGACTGCCAGATTCTAGATGAATCGGCTGGCAGACATTCAGCTTTCTTGGCTGACGATGCTAAATTGCAGATACGGAAAATATAGGAAATATTTGATACTGTTTTCATCTTAGAAATTATTTATTTTTTTATTTTCCTCATAATTTAAAAAAAATTATCAAGAAGAATCTAATAATTAAGAATCTAATAATTCAATAAGATTTCACGAATTCTTTGTTCTTTTTCTTTTTTTTTTATTCCATTTTTGCACTTAAAAAATTTCTTTTGTGTCTTTTTAAGAAGTCAAATATAAAATAACAATTGATAAAAATGATATATATCTGCAACATACGTCGTAAACCATTTGCGATTAATTGTAAAAATCACAAATATGATTAAAATGAGTAATTAACATCCACAAGTATATATCAAATAAAAAAAATAGACAAAAGAACAGATCCATAAAAAAAATCAAATACATGTTTAAGCACAAAAAGAATGTAACAACGTGGCAAGATGTAATTAATGGCAAAGGGGACTAATTTCGTTAGCCAAGATGATGATGGCGCGGTGAATCGTTTCGAGGAAAATATGTTATGAAGATACCACAAAGATACCACGAAGCGATCATGGCGAGAAAGCACCGGGATCTCTCTCTCTCTCTCTCTCTCTCTCTCTCTCTCTCTCTCATTTTTTCTTTATTTAGATTTCTTTTTTCTTCATTTTTATTTTTTGCATCTTATGTTACAATTCTAATAATTGCATTACTATTTCTTGGTTTGGTCCTACATATAGAATTCTCGTATGATGGTGTGAGAAGCAATATGAGAATAAAACAAAGAAGGAAATATTAAAAAAAATAACCAATAAGAAAATAAGATGCCGGCAGGTGTCCGTCGACTATGAATGACTCTGTCGCATTACTATTCACCGTCCTCTTTTATACGATTTTTATCAGATCACAAAATAATAAATTAATAACTCATTTTAGAATAAGATAAATAATAAAATTTAAAAGAACACACACACATAAATATTTGAAATTAAAAGTTACACATACATGCTGATATATTATTTCAATAAGATACTTGAAATCTGATTCATGTTGCTTTTAAGCTTGAGGATTAACTAAGGAAAATATGACTTTTTACGAAAAGTGAAACATCGTAAAATGAAGAGATAACATCGCAAATAAAAAGGATTAAAAGAATTGTGAAAGTTGTCGGATCCGCAGGTCTTTGGTGCCACGCATCGTGTTCGTAATTCTTCTTTTGCATGGGCTATATTATTATTGTAAATGCAGCTTCACCGTGTCTTTATCGGTGCAGCGTGATCGCGATTGTTCTCTTCATCGGCCACACTCGCGCGGCCTTCGATTTTTCTTTCGGCGGGCGTGTATTATCCTTCCTTTTTTCGCTCCGTCGCGAATAAAATACCGTTGGTACTACTTACAAAGTAAGTAATGGCCTGCCTTATAAATGAATACCTTCAGCGCGGGCAAAAGTCGCCGCTCGCGCCGAGAGGTACCGAGGAAATTAATGTGTATTTCGTCGAAGACGGTTATGCCGGAGATTAATACGCGAGGAAAGGATTAAATTATGTTTTAAGCGGCGTGCGACTAATTTGCATAACGCTTAATAATTTTACGTGACTGTTCTCCACCTTAACATTTGATGTCATTCTCAATCTCCCCCGTCTCACGACCGTTTCAGTAATAATATGTAATTAAACTTCGTAGCTACGTAATTTGTTACAATTAAAGTATTTGAATATTTCGCGCGCGCTTGCACGCTTAGGATCACCATAATTAGCTTTACAATCTGAAGAAGTCTCTGACTGAGGAAATATTTCATATTTCATCCCGTAGAATCGCGAGAGCAACAATAACGTTAACAAAAAATAAAAGCTAAGTTAAAATACATTTACTGTATACATTTCAATACATTTTAATTGTTTTATGAGATCAAATTTATTTTTCTATATTGATAATCTGACATCTTCAAATGTTTGTTACGATATTCTTTGCATTTCAAAATTCTCAGGACAAAGGACCATACATAACACATTTCTCAGCTCACTCACGTTAATTCCATCGCGCGCGATACGTCTGTGATCGATCACTTGAGCGATCTCGGACACCATTCATAGGTATAGCGTATTATTCATAGGCTATCTTCGTCCAAATTTCAGGGATCACCGGGCGAGACAATGTGCGTAACAAGCACGAACAATGCGCCGCTTAATAATTGTCGGCTTGTTATTGATGCGCTGCGGGAACTCGAAAACCGCGGCGTTGGGTGATTTTTCATTCGCGTCCCCCCTGAATAAGGACGAGCTCTCCTCGCGTGTCCTCCGCTACTTTCATCGAAGCCTTTCACAATAGTCGATAGATTAAAGTCGACAAGACCGAGTCGATATTAATTGATAGTCAGTGTCGCACGTTTTTGACACACATTACATCAAGCGAAGTACCAACCTATCGATCATGTAATTCTTTCATTTTTCGGATCATAAAACTGACAATTCTCGCATAAATTTGATAAAATTGTATATGCGTAACATTTTTCATAACAATGGACCAGCGCGAACAATGCAGTAGAAAGAATCGAATGAACTTAACTGTCAGGACAGAAACATGGTTCGAATATTATAAAGTTAAGAAATATCTAAGTCTGACATTTTCATAGATCCAAGAGTTGTAAATTTCAAACTTCTGAATTTAAGATGTGAATACTTAAACTTGATACGAACATGGATCTAAGGAAAGTATTCGAAATATTTGTGAGCGTATATGAATATAAAAATATACATCTTATTGCAAGATTCAGTTTAATTCAGAAAAGATTAAATAGATATGGAGATAAAAAAATATATTATTACTTTATATATTGTACTTCTCTACAAGATTACTTTATATTATCTTTCCAATATATCCATACAAAATTTACTAGACTTAATTTCTTACATTGGAAAAATAATCTGATTGCATTAATTGGAATTCTAATTAAAAATAGACAAATCATAATTTTTAGGTTGAATCTATTATAAGTCTAATTGAAATAATCAGAATTCTGATTGATATGATTAGAATTTTCTATTCATATCATGTTCAATTAAATTTTTCTCAGTGTATAAAAATTACAGTGGATTCGATTGATATACTTAGATATTTTTACGATATTTCTAAATCTAAGAATTTAAAACTATCTTTCAAAATAAGTTCAGATATAGTTTTAATTCAAATACAATAAATAGCTAATTCCTTTGAAAATGTTTTGAAACTATTTCTCATGAGCCTATTGTATAGGGGAGAGCTCGATCGAAGAAAGAAGCGGAAGAAGAAAAAGATGAAGAAGAAGCAGGATAAAAAGAGGAGGATAAGAGGAGAGCGTGACGAGAAGCACGAGGGGCCTCGCATATACGGTCGCGTGAGATAGCCGCATCATTCCTTGGCAGACAATTAATTACTGACATTATGTTTTAGAATGCTTACTTGCGCCGGCTACCAACCACCGATCTGTAGATTTGTGGCCGCGCTCGGTACGCTCTATCCTGCGATGCACTCGCTCGCACGCACGCGTGCATGCGCCCGCCATCGCAGCGGGACGACGCGTTATCCGTTTTCCGCACCTCTAATGCTCTTACTATATTCCCTTATTCTAAAAAATAACAATCAATCACAGTCTCCTAATAATATACAGTAGATCGCTAGGCGGAATGTAAATGAGACGGCCGATCAATGTATCTTTGCTTCATCATACGCAATATTGCAAAAATTGTAAACCTGTAGAGAAGCTCTATATAGAACGTATTTAAAGTTGTGTTATTTTTTTTTTAGCTGTGAACATTCTATAATTTATATTAAAAAATGTATATTTAATTTTCTAAAATACAATGTATAAAATTTTACATATAGAATATGCGATGTATCCACTACCACTCTATTGATAGAAAAATAACACATTTAAAAATTAACAACTTTTCAGTAGAGAGCATTTTTAAAATACAGAATTGAAATAACGTCGTAATAGAGATGAAGATAATAGAGATGAATATGCAGTAAATAATAATACAGTGAATTTCTATTTACTAGCGATAAATTGAAAGAACTGAAGAAATGTGTTTTTTTTTTAATCACTTTTTAGAATCAATTTCCTTTCATTATCTAAAAAATGCTAATTTCTAATTTGCGTTATTTCTCTATCAATGCCCCAAAGAAATACACAAAATACATAAAAAATTAAAATGACTGTTTAGATTCTTAACGTCAATAAACAACAAATTTTGTAACAAAAAAATCATCATTTTGACTTTCATGATTAAAATAAAGTCATTTTGACTTTCTCTTGATTTAGTGTGTTCCTTTTGGGCGGCGATATGTTAAGTATAGACATTATTATAATAGTCCATGATAGGATTGATGCAGCAGTTAGCTGTCTTTTACAATTCTTTCATATTTGATCCTTCGAAATCTCAGCGACGCTCGGGACAAAAGAAACTTTTCTGGGTCAAGGAAACGAGTCGAAAAGCACTTTTAACGCGAGACGCTGCGGCACGTTGGCCGATTAAACGGCGGAATTGTAATTAAGATTGATGACGCGAAACGCGCGGTGATTAGAATTATTGATGGGTCCGACGGGTGTTATTAATGACTTACGTGAAATTTTAATTCCTGGCTTAATTTGGTAATTATGGTAATTAATTGATACCATTTTGAATGACGGTTGGTACTGCAGATGGTACTTTGATGATCAATAATACGTAATAGGAGAGATCATAATTTTTTACAGATCACTAACATTCATTATTTCGTGTTACATAAATACATTATTCACTAATCACTTTTAGAAATTATTATTTATGATGATTTAAAAATATCCTCAAATTTTCATATAGTTCTATATTTTACGAATTCTTCGTTCAAATAAATGAATAATCCCGCATTGAATATTTCTCGTAATAATTAAGTTAAGTAATAATTAGACTATAATTCTCTATCATAAATTATAGATCTATTGCATGTAAATTAAAAATGGGGAATTCACGAAATATAGCGAAACGCACGTGTAATTCCTGCGACACTCGAATCCTCCCCTCATTAATTATGCAGCCAAAAATCGCAAAATCAAAACGTACTCACGCGCCTTCAGACGAATGCCAGTTGGTCGTTGCGATATTTCAAGCCAGGCCATTGTGCAATTTGATAATCATTTTGCCGTCGAAGTCGCCTGCTCATTAGCATATTTAATTATGAATATTTAAAATTTTTGGCGCAGCGGGATGGCAAGGCCTTGGTCCGAAAAGAGGAAGAAAGGGGTCTTGGCCGACGTATTAAAATAAAGCCCGCGTGGTGCGCGAGGCCCCGTCGTAAATTTCACCGGACACACGGGGACTGGTTGTTGCTCCGATCATGCAGCGAGGGACGCGAGCAAAAAGGAAATCGAGAGGAAGACAGGCATGTACGATACGTATTGCAACTAGCTGTGCCCATCGTGAGGCTGCATCTCCCGAATGCTGCGTTCCTTCCGAATTCAACTCGATTCGTTCGTTAAAACGTTTCGTTGTTAGGACGTCGCGCTTTAAACGGGCACATTTTTCCTTATAAAAAATACCAAAATTCGTTGAGATATTTTCGATGGTGAGATTCATCAAGGATTCGACGCGCAAGTAATGAAGCATTTGCTATTTCCGACAATTTTAAGTGGACTTTGGTTTAACAGATTCCGATCTAGAGAATCACCGACTGGTGGTTCAATCTAACGTAAATTCTCTTCGAAATCGACTGGAAAATAAGATCCGGCAAAAAATATGACGCTATAAAAAATTCGATTGCTCATAGATCACTTGTCAGAGCTTGTACAGAGAGTTTATTGCTCGTTACGTATGAATGGGTGTACCTGGAATTCGCAATTTCGCGGTGCCGCCGGTCGCTAAGAGTTCGTTAAGAAATCGAGCTACGTATTCAGGCGTTCCTTTTCCTGAACCGTTTACGCGTTTCGTGCGTGGCCCTTTGTTGCTCGATGCTGCACAAAGAGTGTTTTTTCTCACCGGCGAGCATTGTTGCCTCGCGCGTTGGCATTAACGGAAGGAGACGAGCAACGCGCGGGGCCCGGTCTTTTCTGCCGCGGATTCTCGGGGTCCGTTGTTCCTTTTGCGCGTTTCTCCTCTTCTCTCCTTACTGTTCGACCTATGCATTATAACAGCGGTACTTTCCAAGACGCGCGAGGGATGAATACGGCGTCGTACAGTGGGCTTTAACACCTGCAGCCCATTATAATAAGAGTGCCCCGGATGCCTTCTTCTTTTTTTTTTTTTTTTTAAATAACACGTAATGGGCCCTAATAATTAGTCGGTGGAATATATAAACCTAATGCCCTGCGCCTAAGGCCCGAAATCATTTACATGACCGGCCAGTTGTTCTCTTTTGTTCTATTTAATTACCCGCTACTTTTCGCGCTCTCTTAATGTTTTTCCTCTTTCCGATCACTCTCGATCATTCTTGATCATGGTCATTATCGTCTGGGGATTTAATAATGACTGACAAACTAATAGGTGCACACCAGAATTTAAATAAATTTAAAATGTGACAAAACTTTTGTGAACTTTTCATAGATAGGTACATAATAATGCCTAGTATAATCTTTGACGTACGATTTTTTCTTTTTATAATTGAATTGCTGAATTATAAATTACAATAATCGAAGAACTTTTTATTAATCACATGAAAAATTGCGGCTTGATGAAATGAGTTAATTTTTATGTGTGATACTTGGTCAAAAATATTAGGCACCTTATTAATTATTATTTAAAGTTTTAGCTCAAAAATTAATTTATGGCATTTGTGACAAATTTTCCTTTGTTCAAAAACCCTTTAAACTTTTGTATATCGCCGCTCATCAATAGATGACAATGTAAGTAAAATAATTCCAAATAAATAAAACAATATATGTGCCTAATATCTTTGATCAAAATATAGACACATGATTTAATAATGGATGGTTTTTGAACCCTGATATATCAAAAAAATGACTCCTCTGCGAGTAGTTTTACATCTTTGACATAACTCAAAAACTATCTATTATTATTAAATCTATGATATTTCTCGTTTACTAATCATACATTCTATAAGATAACTAGCTTATTTCACCGGAATCCAATTTTTCATATTATTAATGTGACGTCCTTTGTACAGTAATTATCAGGTTTAATAATATTCTTTGACTTAAAGTGGATTATTCGTAACATTTAATGTGCAATGAAGATACTGAAAGAAATAGCACTGAAAGAAATAGATATATATATATATATATTCCTTAGAAGCTTTTTAGTCTCTAATGCATGACTCTAGGGAAGACAAAGTAAATTGATTCGTCGTAGTACAAAAAACTGTTGATAATTTTTAAACGATATTAAATAATCTGTAAAATCACGAAGTAAACATATTTATGCTTATAGTAATTACGTATTTCTTACAAACATATATAATGTGTAATAAAAACAGTTTGCGGTGAGCGAACGATTAACATTACGAATTCGGAGATACTCTGATTAAAGAACTTTATCATATTTGCGTCACAGTTCGAGATATTAGAGCTAAAAGATTAAGGTGCGCAACGATGTCTTGCGAAATAACGGAAAATAAAAAGCTTTCTCTCAATTTTAACGGACCCGTGTCTTTTATTTCGCAAACAACCCGAGCTGTGAGTTTTGCCCTGTTGCTCGTGCAAGTCTGTCCCGTGGGCCCCGAAATGAAAGGCCGCTTTTTACTGCAATTACGACAAAATTACGTCCTCGAAATATACCGCTGCGGGGTGCCGACTTAGTGCGGCAGTTAAATAAATATCACCATAGGCGCCCCATTCGTTTCTTCAGGGGAGGCCGCGGGTGAGGACGTGCCTTTTCCGCCCTTCACGCTCGTCCTTAAGCCAAGACCCATTCGCGTTAAAATACTCATTCTCGCGTGACGTTAAATGCCGCCTGTAGGAACCACGCTAGTTAGAAAGCTAACATTGATTTAGAAAGGCTATTCAAATATAAGGTACTTTTGTGCCAATTCTGATTGTAAATAATTAATAAATGCGAAAGAACGCGTAATATCATGCATATAACGCTAACAGAATTTATTTATCGTTCATATTAATCAAAATTTTGCCATACGAGGTAGACTTTGTGACGCCGACGTAACGAGTCCGCCGGCGACTCGAACGGTCATTTTAATAATGCGTGGGCATGCCACGGGCAAAATGACCATAACGGAAGACACGAATTACATGATGTAAACGTGCCACCTACAGCGAGACAGTCGGGATTGAATTTAATACTAATTAAAAGTAATAAATATATCGACGAACGAATCATCTCGGCGCGCCGCGAGCGGCGACGCAGCGCGGCGGTCCTATTCCGTGGAGGCTCGGTGTCTCTTTTTCTCGTTGTGGGACTCCGTTGCACATGT